AGGATCATCTGGAAAGGTTTTTAAAAATTCCTGCCTGGTAATCCCACGCTAGACTTACTGAATCCGAATCTCCAGTGACAGGGCTCCCAGGGAGTCTGGCAGGATCGGTCTGTGGGTTGGGAACCTCTGCTTTGGTCTCTGCTCATTGCCAGGGAAATATGAGCTGTTAAGTTAGCAATTTAAACAGCCGGAAAATGGAAACAGAATAAGGGCTTCAGGGTATGGATTTAAGTCAAACAGTAAATGCTAACGCTAACCCTGGTCCTGCCAGTGAGGAGAGATGAAAGCTTCTTGGTAAGTGGACCCTCCCATTCAGAACGTAACCTGACCTATGCCACCAGTCTGACCCACACAATTCTGATCCTGACTGCTGCTGGGCCAAGAGGCAAGAGCTAATGACACTGTGTATTGGTTTTACTATCTCGAGATTGGCAAGCAGCTGGCAGGAACACTGCTGCATCCCCCTCCTGTGCCCACAGTAGACATCACAAATAGATTATGGCTCTCTCTCCCACAGAACCCAAACAGGGCCTCAGTCTCCATCTGAACAAAGTGGATCAGACAACCATGACCAAGAGACAGGAGCTAGCTGGCCGGTGAGGAGAGGGCCACATGCCCTCCCTGTCCTAACATCGACAGCTTAGAAACCAGGGCTCCTCGCAGACTGTGGCCACCACACCAATTTCCACAGCACGAGACCCCTAAGGAAAGAATGCACCTTCAAAGCAAAGCGAGTTCTTTCCTTCTCAATGACGTGCCTGTAGTTTTTAATCAAATGTGGAAATGTTTTATTTACATTTATCATGGTCCATATCAATCTATCTGAACTACACAATAAACAAGACCCTAGGCTGGAAAGGAGCTTCCCCTACGATATCTTCCCTAATTACCTTAGTCTGAATTCATTACTCCCTTTCACACTTGGTTTAGATCCTATTTGTGCTCAAGCCCCTAAGAGACTGCAAGTTCCTTCCCAGAAACCCTAGGACCCAGTTCTATAATGCAGACATGCATTCATGCAGTGAAAGCAAATATGAAGCAATGGAGTGGACCTCACATCTCAACTGGGAAATGAGTCAAATTACCAATACTGAAGAAACCACCACGCAAGAACAAGGCCTAACTGATCTCTATCACCTTCAGGGAACAGGTATACCTAAGCTCTTCTGGTCCAGCCTAGGCCATCCGGGCTGAAGAGGCTGGACAAGTGGCATGTCATTGCTCACCAGGGACATGCATCAAGCAAGCACTGCACATGTGTTATTCCATATTAAGTCTTTATTTGGCTCCTAAGACTCCCAGCTTCTGCTTTCTAAAGCTGCAACATATTTTAAGAAAGAGCTAAGCCTCACGACTGAGAGACATACCTTAATGAAAACTCTGGTAGCACAAAATTAAAATTAAAAAAAAGTTTTCAAAGACCTGCATACCACTGACAAGAACAAGGACTGACAAAATATTTACTTGTAAGAAATGGCGCATCCCTCTTGTTATGTTTACAGAGGTATGAAAATCGGGAAACGCCACTGAGGAAACGGCCTCCAAATGCAATTTTGTACACAGAAGGAAGGACGATTAAAAATGTAGGAAAGGTAAAGTGAATAGGAAGTTTAAAAAACGATTAAGACTTTGAAAACTAACCTGAGGTCTTGGGCTAAACCAGACAGCAGAATCACGAGTATTGCACCCAGTTCCAGACAAGGTTAAACTGTAGGAAAAGCTCAACAGGAAATTCCCACGAGTGTCAGTTAACAGATGCCTAGTTAGGATTAACCCAGAGCTAGTGAAAGACTTATGGCTCCAAAGTTGAGAGAATAAAGGGGATGAGATGTCTAGGAATCACGCACATTTACTTCCAAGAGTTTAAGTTCAATATAAGTGTCTAACCTGGGTATATATTCCTGAATTCTAATCACTAAGAAAAACTCATTTTCTATGTTGTAAACTATATGGCTTTATTCTGATCATCCACCATTGCACCATTGCTAAGAAGTAAGCCTAAACGTCTTTTTCTTCATTCATGGGAACACCATTATAATTTCAATCAGTCTACAAACAAAAACAAGTAACAAAATATAAAGAAGAATGTCTGGCAGCTCTAAAATGTTCTGAATATGCTTCTCAATCCTGAACATTCAATTTTCTTTAGCATGCCCCTATTCAAAGGGAACCAAAAGATATTTAGTACTAACGTTTCAATATGGATAGCTGCAATTTAGAAGACTTAACAACTGCAGCTATAAAATTTTAAGAGCTATAGTATTTTGGTGGTAATTAGTTATTGATATTTCTAAAAATTCCTTTGAAATTTCTCTATAAATTTAGCAAAAAAAAAAAAAACAGCTTATGACATGGTTTTGGAAATAATAAATTATTTTACAATCTTAACATTGTTAAGAAAAACTTATTGCCATGAATTTGAACTAAACCACTATTTAAAATTCAATCAAAATAAACTGCACTTGATCAAAATACTGATATATATAAATACATCTAATACTGACCCAATTCAGTGGGAAGAATGTATCACTCCATTTACAATCAATAATTCAAGAATGACACTTTTATTAATTCTCTACAGTAGTTTAGAAAAAGAATGACACTGATCATTGTTCATGAGTGTGTGAGTAATATTCCTCAAACAACTTTACCGACATTAAATGTGAAAAATAACTTCACAGTTGCAATGAGAAACGACAAAGTTAAGTGACCCCTCAACTTCACATTCCTGCATAAGGCAGAACTAGAATGTGAACGCAACACCTCGAAAGAACTGAACTTAGGCCATGGGTCGTTCTAGCAAACACATTAGGTCTTCCAATTTTTTTTTAAAGCACAATATTTTTAAAAAATAATTTGAAGACTTAACATATTTGTCTCACATACTTTGGACATGTTACCAAGAGGGACTAGTCCCTGGAGAAGGACATCATGCTTGGTAGAGGGTCAGCAAAAAGAGGAAGACCCTCAACGAGAGGGACTGACACACAGGCTGCAACAATGGGCTCAACCATAAGAATGGTTGTGAGGACGGCGCAGGACCAGGCAGTGTTCTGTACTGTTGTACACAGGGTCACTGAGTTGGAACCAACTTGAAGGCACCTAACAACAAAAATATATTTGCTACAATACCTTTTTTAAAAAACATCTACTTTAAAAACATTGTAGAATGTGTGTGGCACCCAGGAGAGAAGGCATCAGCAGTTCCAAATAACAGAATAAAACTATCAGCTCTGACTTCATTCACAGAGGCCAGAGGAAAGCTATGACAAATACAATAAACTAGGTTTCCCCAAATAGAGAAGTAAAACTGCTGAGAACAGAAAGAAGCCATCCTGGGAGCAAATATAAAAGAATAATCAGCTAAAAAAATTTAACAGATTATTTTTCACAATAAGTTTGTTAGAGTTCTTAGTAAGCAAGTGCGTAAGACTCGACGGGCGGCAGCGTAACTGCAATGGAGAGAGTGGAAAAACCTGCAAGATGCTGTTTCTCATGGCTCACAAACATCACACGGCAATACAGTTTTGATTTCCGATACGCGTGCATTCACCACATATACGTAACCTGTATCATACACTGAAAAAAGTCACTGCAGTAAAAGCAAGGTCAGTCTATGGCATAAAACCGACCATGAAAAGAAAGCACAAACTACACACTAGGAGCACAGTGACAATGAGCCACACCGTACACTAGGAGCACAGTGAGGAGGAGGCACACTGTACACTAGGAGCACAGTGAGGAGGAGGC